GGGATAGATAGAGGGAGGGATGGATAGAGGGACAGACGGATAGAGGGACAGACGGGCGCATAGAGGGAGGGATAGATAGAGGGAGGGATGGATAGAGGGAGGGATGGATAGAGGGAGGGATAAATAGAGGGACGGACGGACGCATAGAGGGACGGATGGATAAAGGGATGGATGGATAGAGAGAGGGATGGATAGAGGGACGGACGGACGGACAGACAGATGGACGAATAGGAGAGAGGAATGAATAACTTCTCCCGCGCGTCTTTAATCTCTCGCACAATCGTCGTGTTGTTGTTGTTTGCTTGCAGGAGCATCTGGCTATGTATTTTACCATGGCAACAAGGCGAAGCAGCCGAGGGGTCGCTTCGCCGCCTACATCCTTGGCGGGGCCCTACTTGGCCTCGGAGCTACCAGACTCCTCAACCTCAAGCCGCCACCGTTGCCGCTGGCAACGACGACCACGACGAAGCCAGCCGAGGCGGACGAGTCGTCACGGTAACGCCATTGCCGTGTCGACGAAGCCAGCCGAGTCGGCACGGTAACGCCATCGCCGCGACGACGACGCCAGCCGAGACGGACGAGTCGGCACGGTAACGCCATCATCGCGAAGATGATGACGTAGCGGCACGACGAACGCCATGTTGCAGCGGCGGTGGGTTGTGGGGGGGGGGTCTTTGATCTTCGCGATCGGGGGGGGGGGGGGGGGGGTCTTTGATCTTCGCGATCGAAGACACGTATTGTTACTACGTATGATTATGAAGTCTTCTGTTGGGTAGCAGATCCGCTCTTAAGTGAGTTCTTGTTTTCGTAATCTAAACTCGTGTGATCTTTCGGGTGGGGGGGGGGAGGGGCTGGAATTCTTGGTTACAGTTGTTCACGTACAGAAATCCTAACTTTGACACGCATGTAATGAATAAGTATTAATTAGTTAATTAATAAGTATAAGGTGTAATCGCGGGTTACATGTCTACGCACTTGATAATCACGTAACGCCACACGAAATATTTCGGTTGAAATGAGAAGCGAGGAATTATTAGAGAATTTCGGTCTCACAAGAATCTACTGTGATGTTCGAATTACAGCAAACTAGATATATAGCTTTCAACGTTGTGTAACATATGATGTATGTCATTCAGAGATGTGAGTGATGCAACGAGCATCTCTATCTGTTTGTGATCGATGATTCCAATGAGTAGGAAAGGTGGTTGTAATTAGTAACAGTAATTAGTAACAGTAATTATTAACAATCTTCTATATCGTTGTGTATTATACGCGTAACTTTGTATCGGACCAATTATTTTGACGTAGTATCGGACCGACACCGTCGCGTATTCATGACACTGGCATTACGTCTGACTGCAATGATGTGCCGTGTTCTCAGCAAGTATATTTTTCTATAGGTCGTGATGCGTTGATAGTTGTAGAATACCGCTGTAATGCTGTGTTGTTGTTGTTGTTGTTTTTGGGGGGAGAGACTACACGGTGGAGGTGAAATACCCAGTTCAGCCTGTAAAACTGTTGAACTGTGTTTCTGTGTGTGTTAGCAATGCGTGTAGGTAGGTGTGGTGTTCTTACTGCATTGCAATAAATAGTCGTGTTTGACGACGTTTTTCATTTATCTGAATGTTGCAGTTTGATTATTTTCCTCCGCTGCGCTCCACTCGCTCGCTCGCTCACTCACTCACTCACTCA